TTGCCCCAACAGTCCGGTAAAGGCTATACGGGGTGTCTTTGTACGTACGTTGTGTTTGCCACACCACTCTGTCCATCGTGTGCCATTCCGGCCTTAATAGGTGCTCGCTAACAGCAATTACCCCAGCAGCCTTGATGGCTATATACATGGGATGTTTGTCTTTTGTATACTCTGTATATATACACTGTACTGTAATGCCATACGCTCAAAGAAGAAGATACTGGTGTATATTCTAGATTTAATTTTATTTAATTTTATTTCTTTTTATGTTTTATTTTTTATTTGATTTATTATTTTCTTTACCTACGTGACTTTACCGAAAAAACCACGAGTACTGGTGTGTATATCCGTCGAGTAACTGTGGGGTGGAGCGGTGGTAAAGTAGTTGGCACACTACGATTCTGAGTTGGATTACCGGTCACGGATAGAACAAGAGAGTAGCGAGTGACATCTGGGCCAGTGGTGGCTCTCCCTTCATCAGCTCCGCGGTTATAAATACCACACAATGCATATATTGTATATATTGTATATATACTGCCATATACGTAACACTGGAGGTACATATTACGATGTCGTACACGCACACACGCACGCATGTATACACGTACACGTGAGTATAGGTTATATGTGTCTGTAGGGGCTACCCCTTAAACCCATACAGACTCCTACAAATATTCCCTACAGACTTCACGTGAAGTTCTATAGTGCCCTCTCAATGCGTGAGACCCACTCACTCCTACAGACACGTTCACATATCCCATGACAACCCCATACAACCCCCTCCCCCCGACAGGGATCTTATTAACAGACCCCGACACCCCAGATACAGATCGCATTCAGACCCCTGCAGACCCAATTTAGGACCCCACTGGGTGTCTGGAGCGACGGCGTTGGCAAGACCGCAGGGTACGTGGAATAATCGAGTAAACACATCAATAAACACATTCATAAATAAATGCACAAACAGATATAAACACAGGACTAATAGGGTTTTACCCTTTCAACTGGTACAAAAACTGACACCTTTATACAAGGCATCATGTTTGCAATAACCACAACACAAGCAGTCAAAATGCAAACAAAAATATATAAACACACACGAACACGAAGGAATTAAAGGAGTAAATATGGAACGAACACGTAGGAAGATAAACAAGTCAACAAAACAGAGGCAAAGAAACAAACACGGGTATACACGCGTACACAAATATGTAAACAAAATATAGATGTAAACAAAACTAACACGTAAACAAAGAGGCACACGAGTCCAAACACAAATGAATATTGAAACATACCAAGAAATTACAATTTTAAACACACAAACACATAACAATAGAAAGGTTAGCAAATAAACACAAACAAATGAGGACAAACAAAGGCATGTAAACAAACGCATACAGTAACAGCAAAAACACTAATATATAAGGCATGATACATAAAACATGGGTTCAATAACCGACACGCACATCATTATTAAACAAACACCGAGGCATGAACACGGCATTAACAAACACACACACATTGTCACGATATGACTTTATTGTTGACTTTAGCCTACGTGTGTTAGACTTACACATTTTATAAATATTGGGCCCTCAAATAGTTGTTGGTGACAACTCAGGTCGCCCTTTGCAAAAGAAGGCAATGTTGTTCACGTGTGCTCAATGGGTGTATTTTATCTCCTGGTTAACATAAAGGAGACAACAACAACAACAAATAGCACGAGACAAACACGTAGACAAACAGCAGTACAAAACACACAGCACTGGGTTTATGGGGTCAGGGTTACAGCTTCCGAATCCATTTGTAGAGAGCGGTTCCGGACCTAATTTTGGTCACCCGTTCAAATCCACATGGCGACTCAAAAAACAATTATCGCCAGGCACCATTTAATTGGGCGATGCTCGATAATTATCAACTGGGTGGTCATGCACGATACAGCCGGCGTTTTCAGCTGACTGCTCAGCATCAAAGCGATCACACGTACACATATATCAGAACAAATAAATAACAATACGACTACAATAGGTCTCCATCCCACAGTTGTAACAATGGCAAGTGTGTGTTTTTTTACTCATCTCATCGAGCACACGGTATTCTGCGAGTGACATTTTTTTCAACAGCATTTGCACGGATTAATGCAATCAACCACTCGACTGGTTTCGAAATTCAGTGTCTCGTGTAAATCAGCGGAAGCAGAGTGAACCCTTGCTTAAACCAATGTTGACGAACTACCGGATGTTTGTAGGCAAGGGCACTGTTAGACACGGGTCCGAAGTTCGACACAACACTCGACAAAACACAACACGTACAATAATCATGAGCGTCGTTGTGGAGAGAATATAAGTAACAAAATTATCTTCACATCGACGCTAATGAGTATTTTGTGATATATGTGTGTAGATGTATATACAGTCGTGGGGAGACGTTCATCCAGCAGTGGATTGATAAAGGGTCTTAAAGAAATCGCTTTGTTGCCGCGCAATGAGGGGCTGTGGCGGCCGCCATTTTTGCTCGCAGTGAAACGCGCTCCCATTGGTCAATGCGAGTCAGAGGCGCAACTCAAAATGGCGCTCCCCCTCGTGCTTTCGGGTTGTGCCGTATGGTATTCAGCGGCGCGGTGCTCGGCGTTTCGCTCTCGGCAGGTGATGGGACGCTCTTTCGTTAGCTGACCCAAGCAGCTCACCTCCTCTCGATCGAAACGTCGGACATCATGCCAAAGATTAGCGCAGTACAACCCAAAAACACACCGAATGACTAAACAACACAACCGCGACACCCAATATTGTTGCAACCCAATACATATTTAAAATACATAAAATATATTGGGTTGCAACAATATTTAAAATATATATTGAAATCGGCGACCCGGATAGTATAGGCAATACAACATAGCATTGATTCTTGAACCATATGGAAATATATACTCTTTGGGTCTTCCGGTCAAGTCACGTAAATAGCAATAATATATCACGACGTTTTGATCGCAACACAAGCAATCGTCGATTGCCTGTGTTGCGATCGTCGATTGCTTGTGTTGCGATCGAAACGATTGAAACGTCGTGATCTATTATTGCTATTTACGTGACTTTACCGAAAGACCCAAAGAGTATGAATTCCTGCAGTCACGAAAGCTTTAAATCAAGATTAATATGGAAATATATAAAATAAATTCAACTTTAACTTTGTTCTATGGCAGCGAAACAGATTCAAGTTGATTCTGTGAAAAGAATATCACGAATCTGCATATGTAAGCCATGTTAGAGCTGCCTCCCACAATGCATTGTTTTAAAGTGTACGGCAGTCTCGCTGTAGTGACGGCAACGCCACAGCGTGATGTGGAGGCGCAACTGATTGTGACTTCAAATTATTTGTCTTGATATTATGACACACAGTCTAAGTGTGTAGCTCCTAGAGAAGACCTGTTTTAATGCATTGGGTTGTGTCTCCCTTTAAACTCAAGAGTTTCCAAAACTACAGTCCTCGCGGTACCAACCACAAAACTCGACAATACAAACAACAGCGACAATAACAACACTAACAACAACAGCAACACAGTAACACAACAACAGCTGGTGTTAGATAGAACACGACAGCCGCTCACCAACCACACCGCAACGAACACACCGCCATTATCCACGTGCGGCAACACGTAAAAGACACGTGACGGCAACACAAACACGACAATGTGCTGTAGGCTATACCACATTGGAACGCGAAGTGACCGCTAAAAGCCAGTATTGCTTTCGTTTTCACACAAAGACCTTTTCATAAAAACTCATGATATAAATCATCTTAATCATTATCATTAACACCATCATCATCATCGTGGCCAGCCAGTATGACCTTTGACACAGTACTGCCCTGCTGTAACCATCAGCGAGCTCCAGGGGCAGTTGCCGTGATGTATCTATGTTGAACTTCTTGAGCGTCGTACCTAACCAACAGTGCTAAAGAAATTAGTTTTCAATGTAAATGATTTAAAAGTGCATCGCTCCTAATATCGGAAGGAAGAGCGTTCCAGACGGCCGCAGAAGCGCATCTGAAAGCGCGCGATGCGGTGACCGTCAAAAAGCCACTGCGACGATGACCACCGGAGTTCGCGTCATTGATGGTTTATGTCCCTCAACGAGTTCCGCAAGGCATTGTGGGTTCATTTTTGTGGCAAGCACTTTGTGTGCATTAAGTGCGATGTGATGTCATCACTTCTTAGAGAAAGCTGTCACGTGATTATAAATAGAGCATCCGTGTGTACAAGGAGGAGCTCCTTCAGGGATCAGTGTTATCGACGCTCTCACATCGAAGGATAGAGACTGAGCTGAGCATCGCCGGCGAGCGATTGGTTGAAAGAATCGATTACTTAATCGTTATCGTGTATGCCCCCTCCGTCTCGTCGTTTGTAATGCTTCGCATGTGTCCTGTGTAATATCATCATCACCGTCATCGAATAAGTATGTGGTTATCCTATAACCGCAACGAATCGATTCCCGCACGAACAAATGGATGTGGCTAATCGTGAGCAAAAAAAACTCATTCGAAACCGATCGATGCATCGTTTGCGTCAGCACGCGCCTATCGGTGTGTCACGCAGGTCTCCAGCGAGCAACTCGCTGGAGACTTGCCCTTTGAACTTGTAAACAAAATTATCTGGCGATGATTGCTGCAGATGCTTGCGATAGCAGTGTCGCAAAAACGCAGTCGACAATAAAAAAAAAAACTCAACGCATCCATCAATAACACTGTGTGGCTTTAAATTATATAAAATATATAATAGGCGACGTTCCGAGCAATGGCTCTTCTTCAGAGCACACATATATGGAAAGTTAGACGTTTAAAATACTGAGATGTTTGTCTCAATGGCCATGACCTGATTTAGTTGAGGGTTGTTATCAGATAACCGGTAAACCGGCAAACCGGTTTTTCATAAAGTCAGGAACCGGTAACCGTTCCCAGTGGAATGTTAGTAGCGAGTGCACCGAACGGCACGGACAAACCGCACGGCGGCCTAAGTCACCGAGTGGTAAAACATTTTTTTCCCATTAGTTTTTATTTTACGTTCAAAAGGTACAAATGTTATATTTATTGCCCGGCATCTGTACTCTATATATGCGGAAAACCGGTAACCGATTTGTATCGGTTTTTCATGCGGTTACCGCTAATGCAACAACAAAAACATCGACTTTAACAACCCTAGTTTATATATAGCAATGTATGTAGTAGAGTGCCTACGTGTGTGTGTACGTGTATATATAGGTATATGTCTCTTTATGTATACAGTATGCGTGTGCGTGTGTGTACGTAAGGCTATAAGAGGATCTTTGTATATTATAGGGAGCGGTGGGGCAGTGGTTAGCGTACTGCGCGAATAAACACGGCGACCGGAGATCGATTCCCGCTCACAGCCAACATCGGTGACGAATATTTGAACCGGTCCCTGGGCTCTCCCCGAGGTCGACTCAGCCTTAAATGACTTCCTGGTGGGGTGTGTAAAAACATCAGCTCTGGGGAGACAAAGGCGACCGGGCGTGGTGGCACTTGCCCCATCAGTTTGTTAAGGCTATACGGGGGAGATCTTTGTCTTTATCTTTGTGTGCACACGCATGTGCTGATGCTATCGTGCACGTGTCAATGACGAATCCACGATGCCAAAGCACATTTGGAGTTTCTCAATTGAATCCACCTGCCCGCCTGATTATCAACCGAGACCGTGGAAAACCCGGGGTGGAGTTTTTATTTTAGTTTTAAAGCCTCCTCAACCTGGATACTGGAGTCACCACCGCTGCTTGGCGTTTGTGAATCTTTCAAGCGCTCGAGTCGAGGACTGCAGCGTCGCTACAAACAACAGCCATCGCGCCGCATGTAAACGGAGCCCGGGTCGCGCTCGGTTCGCGATGGAAACAAACACCGGCTCCGTGAAATGAACCACAGAGCGGCCACGTGGAGTTGGAGGCGCAGAGGCCTTGGGGGTTGTCGGTAGGCACGTGACGAGCATTCATCTTCGAACGCTTTCTTACGCTCGTGGTACAATCTGCGAGGATAATCGAATATTGCGGCGTATTGCAGCCGATGTGTAGACGTGGGGTTGTTGTGCGCGCTTATCAAGCTACGGCGAGGCTGGTGGAACGAATGAAGGCGTCGACGAGCCGGGAGACGCGCAGCGCACGGGAGAGAGAGACGGAGAGACGGAGCGGTGACACAAGAAACGAAAGAGCCGTCGCTCGCGAAGCGAACGATGCACACGAGACGGGGTGCGAACGAGGCAGACGACAGACAAAAGATCGAGGAGGCAAACGAGCCGGTTCGAACGAGACGAACAATACGAACGAAACGATGTAAACGAGTCGGTAACACAACAAAAACAACGATACCGATGGTATAAATGAGACGGACATTTTTTTAAAAGTAAAATCAATATCGATCTCCGAATCGTGGTAATTCTGAGAACGTGCGGGGTAGGGAGGTGGGTGGGGGAGTCGTTAGGGGCCGCAGCGCTTGGCAGCAGCGATAGAATACTCAGTCGACACACACACACGCACGGACTCGCACATGCACACACAGACCCACACATGCACATACACATACACACACACGGACTTACGCGCACACAGACTCGCTCTTGCATTTACACACAGACTCGCGCGCATTTACACAGACTCGCACACACGCAGACTCACGCACACACGCAAACTCACGCACACAGACTCACACTTGCACTAACACATTCAAACACGGAGACTTATGCACTTACAGACTCACGCACACACAGACTCAAACATATACATACAGATTCACACACACACCTACTCGTTTAAGGCTGAGTCGACGTAGGGGTGGCCCACGCCCGGTTCAAACATCAGTCGCGCCACTCGCGTGAATCGTGACCGGGGAGGAAAGGGGAACGCGCGTCGCCGCGGGCTGGTGAGAACGCAGTGCGCTAACCACTGCACCACCACTCCCCGCGCGCAGACGATTCGCACAGGCCACTCGTAGACACGCCGGAATAAGTTAGTCGATATCAGGTAAACAAAACAACGACAGTAGTTTCACTCTACTCGTCAACAACAACAACAACAACGGCAACCACAACAACAAAACTACAACTATTAATATCAATTACAAGCGCGTGGCAAAGGAGCAGCACCTGCAATTGCCTGGCTCCCGCGCTGCTCTTAGAAGGGCCTCCATAAGAATGCAATTGGCCGTATCGCTCATTGCAATGGCAGTTGATAACAGTCGTACTAATTCCGTGTCACTACGGTATGAACAACGAGCATCATACCGTAGCGCTGCTGTGCGGTGTAATGGTTGGTTGTAGCGCAGTGTGGACTTGCAAATCCAATGCGCTTCGGTGCGGTTCTATCTCCGGGCGCGGCAGTTAAAGGGAGTTTCTTAACCCCCCACCATCTCCATCCAGCAGTCTTCTACAAACGGGTTCGCCATAGTTAGTCGATCGGCAGTTCGCGTGTGGTGGGGTAAATGTGGGTAACTCCCACCGCTTACAAGATGTGGAAGCCTAGGCCAAAACACGCGCACGTACCCTCTCTGGCGGGTCTCTCTCTCGCTCGCTTACAGCTGCTGACGCGAGTGGTAGGCCCTTCCACCAGCAGTTGCTCGAGCCCGGCAATTGCAGAGCCGCGCCTTTGCCCTCCTCCTCCTCGCCATCACCACCACCACCATCATCATCATCATCGAGGGCAGCAGTGGAGAGTGAGTGCGGAGTGAGCGCCGTACGAGGGCGTGTGAGCCCCTTTGTTTGTTTGTTTGTTGTTGTTTACGGATCATCGCTCTTGTCTCTCTTCATCTTCTTGAGCTTCATGCGCCGGTTCTGGAACCAGATCTTCACCTGCCTCTCGGTGAGGTTGAGACCGCGCGCCACCTCGTAGCGCCGGTCCCGCGTCAGGTACATGTTGAAGAGGAACTCCTTCTCCAACTCCAGCGTCTGCTGCTTGGAGTAGGGGCAGCGCTTCTTGCGGCCCGCGCGCGCGTGCAGCCAGTGGGCAGAAGGGTCGCCTGCGGGGAGGAGGAGGGGGCAGGGCAGGCGGACATCGTGATGAAGACCAGGAGCATCGCCTTACCCTCGCAGCTCGCGATGTACCACCGGTGGTGCATCAGCGAGCCGCACTGATGTACCACCGGCGGTGCTGATGGTAATTGTACTACCGACTCTATGGCGAGATGGATACCGTGCGGACTGGAGTATCGCCTGCTGATACTATGAAATAAATAGGCAATGCACTGCCTTCACATACCTGTCCCTCGACACAAACAAACGTATCTTCTTTACGCATCACATCAGCCACACGGAGCTTCTGTGAGTGCGTGGGTTCTGTGTGTGTGTGTGCGTCTGTCACGCTATGGGACCTACATCTAACAGAGATGAGCCTCTGTCAATCCGTGTGGAAGTTCACCATACACGGCATTGGTTCAAGCAAGCCTAACGCTGCTGATGAGACGCTGAAAGTCAAAACCGGTACCGAGTGTGCTCGTGTTGAACCAATGCTGCTTACATTCTAAGGGATGTGTACAAACACTTTGCGATTTAAGTGGCCAGACAACCACGTGAAGGCAGTAGTGTGTTGTTGACTCCGAGTGACGATATTCTGAATCAGTCCTGGGACTCCCCTAGGTCGGTTCAGCCGTAAATTAGTACCCGGTGCGGTGCGTAAACATCGCCACTGGGGAGACAAAGGCGGCTGAGTGTGATGCTGGCCACCCACCCCCTCGTGTGCCGTGCCGGCCTTCATAGGGGCTACTCGCCAACAGAACTTGCCCCAACAGTCTGTTACAGGCTATAGGGGAGATCTTCGTCCTTGCACTACTCCACTAACCCGAGTACACAAACATATTTAATGACGCTGCTGCGATGGCCGTGGTGGTGCACAAAGCACGGACTAACAACAACAACGACATTAAACCCAGCACGCTCCGTGTCGATGCCACTGCCCTATGCGTGCGTGTTGAGGGGGGGGGCTTAAAATGCAAACGAATGTAACAGGGTGACGTTTCGGGCGATGGCCCTTCTTCATAGCATTGCCCATCTAATAAAGCCACCGTCGTGTTGACGAATCTGGCAAGTTCGTTTGTTCTCACGCCCTACGGAGTGCGACGCACGAGTTATCCGCGAACACGCTGAGAGCGAACACCCCACCCCTTAATATTCGCGACGTCTCGCGTTGCCCGGATGTCCGCGAACATGAAGGGTTCGCATGTTATGTTGAACTTCCTTCGCACCGTACGTAGGCAGCCGTGCTCAATGGGAGGTACCGTTCACTGTGTTCATCGCTTTACCAGCAGCATCGGAGATCACCCCCCTCCCTCCCCCTGTCCACAAAACCCAAACGCATTCGTTACTTAACCCGGTGCATTCGATTTATTCCTGGACAAGGGATTATTTTCTCACTCGACATTTTTTCACGTTGACGCTGCTGCTAGGCTGCCGCGGAGTAAGATATAATCGGCGTAAGGCACTACTACTACTACCACTACAGCTTCGTTCCCTCCATTCAATTCCCATTGTTTACATCCCTCTGAGACCGACGCAGCGCTTACTTACACATGTACCTAACGTTGTTGTTCTTGCTCCCCTCGCTCCCGTATTTATGTTGCCACTCTTCGTTTTAGATTCGCGTGTGTTTCATTTAGGACGTGTCAAAAACACCTCGGTTTAACACGTAGGCTTTCGCGACTAATATCATCCATAATAGAGTTTTTTTGGGTTAGAACTATTGGATTTTTAAAAAAAACCTCGTTTGTTCGCTGCACAATATTCCTCGAGGATCCTGTGTCCTCGTGATTTGAAGCTTTCGTGACTGCAGGAATCCATACTCTTTGGTTCTTTCGGTAAAGTCACGTAGGTAGAAAATAAAATTAATCACGACGTTTCGCGCGCAACACAAGCGTCCATCATCGGGTGGGAAAACGTGGTCTGCTGCTGAGGCAGACTGTTTTGATTCTGTGTCCTCGTTCAGTGCGAGGTCGATGCCTTCGTTTGTGTTGCTGCGTCTGCTGCACTCACGCTTTAAAGAGTCGGGAAATTGTGGCGGAAACGGTATTATAATTATCTGAGAAACAAATAAAATAAACTCAAACTACAGCACAAGGTACGCCTATCCGTAACATAATACTAACACGAGGATTTCTACACACATATGGCTGTCGCCTGACGATGCTGGTTGTAATTACTGGTAGAAACGTCGTACTCAGATTGTAAATGTTGTGGCTTGGCTCTCCCACACACCGATTAGTGCTGCACTAGTATACTACACTATACACCGCTATACACTACACTATACACTACTATACACTACACTATAAACTACACACTAGTGCTGTACTAGTGACGAATTGGCCACGTTCTGTTTACGTGACAACCCTTACTAGTTGGCTGTGTCGGGTGGTGGCGGGTTTTAACGACACATTTATATTTATATTTAAAGCTTTCGTGACTGCAGGGATTCATCTTCTTGGTTCTTTCGGTAAAGTCACGTAGAAGGGAAATAATAAAATAATACAAATATTTTCTAATATTGTATTATTTTATGTTTTATTTTTATTATTTTATTATTTCCCTTCTACATGACTTTACCGAAAGAACCAAGAAGAGACATTTATATTTCCGCGATATAATCCACAAACACCTCTTATGGATAATATTGGTCGCGAAAGCCTACGTGTTAAACATAATGATCCTATATGCGTGTATATATACACATACGTGTATCATCATCGTCATGATACGAACAGGTTTACGGGAATATTTGGTGCAATGACAACGAAACTTTCAACGAAACTATTTTTCATTTTATCGGGTAAGGCCCCACTGAGCTATGCATCTATTTTTCAGAAGCGACCTGGCAATCACAAATGATAACTCAACCAAGTGGGCTTATCGCGTATAAATATATAGCAGCCAAATACTCTAAGAAGCGCGTGTTTGTAAATGTGGAGGAAAAAACCCGGAGGACCCGGAGAAAATCCACGCGACCGCTGGGGAGATAGAGAGAGACACGCAAACTCCAAATCTACAGCAGCAGGCGTCAGGGTCTGGATGGGACCCACCACCTCCTGCACACCAAGCGAGGTAGTCAGCATCTCTTAGCCACGATGATGATGATGATGAGAGACACGCAAATTCCAAATCTACAGCAGCAGGCGTCAGGGTCTGGATGGAACCCACCACCTCCTGCACACCAAGCGAGGTAGTCAACATCTCTTAGCCACGATGATGATGATGATGAGAGACACGCAAACTCCAAATCTACAGCAGCAGGCGTCAGGGTCTGGATGGAACCCACCACCTCCTGCATACCAAGCGAGGTAGTCAACATCTCTTAGCCACGATGAAGATGATGATGAGAGACAGGCAAATTCCAAATGTACAGCAGCAGGCGTCAGGGTCTGGATGGCACCCACCACCTCCTGCGTACCAAGCGAGGTAGTCAGCATCTCTTAGCCACGATGATGATGATGAGAGACACGCAAACTCCAAATGTACAGCAGCAGGCGTCAGGGTCTGGATGGAACCCACCACCTCCTGCGTACCAAGCGAGGTAGTTGGCATCTCGCTGCTCTGTAGGCGAGGAGATGGATGGATCATTGCCGGAGCAGCGTCCTGGACTGTTCCGGCTGGAAATTGACCACGGCGAAGAATTAACTCGGTCACATAGATCCTGGGCAAACTTGTAGCTGTATCTACTTGTGTGTTTACATGTGTGTTTACATGTGTGTTTGTGTGTCTAGTTGTGTGTCTACTTGTGTGTCTAGTTGTGTGTTTACTTGCGTGCTCTATTTAAACCAAGGACCATGCGTGCGATCTGTCAACTAAAATCTGTCACAGGGCAACATGTCTCGTCTTCAGACTGCATCTTCTCAGGTCGGTTTAGTCTCCTTCGCCTCTCTGGCTCTCTGTGATGTTTCCTTATCCGTGATCTTACAAGGCGCATGGAGACATTGGTGGAAGGCGCCTTACTAATACATGTACATTATCATCAATGATTATGTCCCGACATGTTCCTTTTCAGGGTTAAGGGTTCCTTGCACTGAGTGTTTGACAGAACAATTGAGTTTCCAAACATTCCCAAATATTTTTTTGATTCATTTATAAAAAAAAAAAAACTTACCACTAAGCGACCAGTAACAAGCAGCACTATTAAAGTTGGCATATACGCCTTAATAGGTTTCTTGAATAGGGAAAGTTTCCTATTATTACTACAATAATTTGGGAAAAACGACGAGACGATGGTGGCAGGAGGAAATTCCAGAGTGGAGCAGTGGAAGGGAAGAAGCAGAAAGAAAGAGAAGTGAGGTGACCGGCAGTGTGGTGGGTGAGTGAGTGGCTGAGTGTGTGGGTGAGTGGGTGGGTGAGTGAGTGGGTTAGTGAGTGGGTGAGTGAGTGAGTGTGCGGGTGAGTGAGTGGCTGAGTGTGTGGGTGACTGTGCGGGTGAGTGAGTGCGTAAATGTGGGTGAGTGCGTGAGTGTGTGGGTGAGTGCGTGGGTGAGTGCGTGGGTTGGAGTGTGGGTGAGTGCGGGTGAGTGAGTGGGTGAGTGTGGATGAGTGAGTGGGTGAGTGAGTGGCTGAGTGTGTGGATGAGTGGGTGGGTGAGTGAGTGGGTTAGTGAGTGGGTGAGTGAGTGAGTGAGTGTGCGGGTGAGTGAGTGGCTGAGTGTGTGGGTGACTGTGCGGGTGAGTGAGTGCGTAAGTGTGGGTGAGTGCGTGAGTGTGTGGGTGAGTGCGTGGGTTGGAGTGTGGGTGAGTGCGGGTGAGTGAGTGGGTGAGTGTGGATGAGTGAGTGGGTGAGTGAGTGGCTGAGTGTGTGGATGAGTGGGTGGGTGAGTGAGTGGGTTAGTGAGTGGGCGAGTGAGTGAGTGAGTGTGCGGGTGAGTGAGTGGCTGAGTGTGTGGGTGACTGTGCGGGTGAGTGCGTAAGTGTGGGTGAGTGCGTGAGTGTGTGGGTGAGTGGGTGAGTGCGTGGGTGAGTGCGTGGGTTGGAGTGTGGGTGAGTGCGGGTGAGTGAGTGGGTGAGTGTGGATGAGTGAGTGGGTGAGTGAGTGGGTGAGTGTGTGGGTGAGTGTGCGGGTGAGTGGGTGAGTGCGTAAGTGTGTGGGTGAGTGAGTGAGTGTGTTGTCGGTGGTGTAGCCCTGAGCGCGCTACGAACCCGGCGACGCGAGTTCGATTCCCGCTCACGGCTAACGCCGGCGACTATTTTATAAACCGGTCCTGGACCTCCCCTGGGTCGACTCATCCTCAAATGAGTACAGTATCTAGTGCGGGGTGCAAACATCCTCTCTCGGGAGACAAAGGCGGCCGGGCGTTGTGCTGATCACCCTGTGTGCTGAACTTACCCCAAACAATCTCTTTAGGCTATAAGAGGAATCTTTGTTTCGCGTTGGCGTGGTGTGCGAGTGTGTGGGTGAGCAAGCATGTTGTTGTGACCCGCAGTGAGGTAGGGGTGAGTGAGTTAGGGGTGAGTGAGTTAGGGGTGAGTGAGTTAGGGGTGAGTGAGTAGGGGTGAGTGATTGTGTTGTGAGCTTCAGTGTGGTGGTGGTGGTTGAACACACAGAGTGGTGGATGAGACGTAACAGAGTTTGCTTGACCACGTTTGCAACACGGGCAGGGGAACCAGTGAGTGGAACTTCCACGTTGATGGAGATTCACCCAAAGTTGATGGAGATTGACCAGCGGACTCGGCTTTCACTTCTGTTTATATTTAGCCGCTACTCCCACACAGCTGTAGTTATAGTTCTAACGGCGAGTACCAATATAGCCGACTTCACTCTTAACATTACCGATATTTAATAATAACAATAGCAATGATTAGTCCCCTTGTAAGTCCAGGTCAGTGATGGTGGTCATTTTACTTGTGAGCGCATTTCATATCTCCCCTTCAAACAGCACACATAACATATACGCAACATATACACAACAGATACATAGAGGACACGTAGTAGGCGCACAAGCATTCTACAACATACACTACACACACGTATCGCAAATACCAGATACATAACAATTGCAATTATATAATGGACACATTTCAGGACATGAAACACGTAAATTAACTATTTAAACCTCTTTTTTAAAGCAGCTAAGACCCGCTCTTTTTTCAGAAGCGAAGTGGACAGCATCGAAACACTCTAAGCGCGTGTTCATCCTAAATGTGGAGGAAGTACCCGAAACAAAATCCACGCGACCACGGCAAGAGAGACGCCGCGAACTCCAAATACACAGCAGCAGCAGGCGTCAGGGTCGGGATCGAACCCACGACCTCCTGCACACCAGGCGAGGTAGTTAACATCTCCTAGCCACCGTGATGATGATGAGAGAGGGAGACACGCAAACTTCGAATATACAGCAGCAGGCATCAGGGTCGGGATCGAACCCACGACCTCCTGCACACCAGGCGAGGTAGTTAACATCTCCATTACATAACAGACACTTCGCAAACAGCGCACGGAAACAGAAGCATAACAAATAGACGTATTTATGTTCGTGATTGCAGAACGAATACATAAAGTACACGAGATACACGTGACAAATACACAACAGACGCGTCGCAAGCACCAAACGGAACACAAGAGACGTGGAAAATAGACGCAATTCAAACAGCTGGTATGTAACGGATACACGAAGGGCACAAAAGCCGCGTATCAGATCGTGGATACACAAATAGTAGTTCACGAGCAGATGCTTAGTAGACACGTCGCCGTCATCATCAACAACAACAACAGCCGCTGTGCTCTATCCACTGTTGGATGACCCCCCCCCTCTCTCTCTACCCCACCGCCATTGTCGTGGCCATTGTGAGTCTCGGCCGCTTGCCCTCATCACCATCATCATCATCACCATTATCATCACCATCATTACCATCAGCACCATCATCATCACCATCGTCATCACCATCATCATCATCACTGACGTCATCACCACCATCATCATCACTGATGCCGCCGTCACCATCACCACCATCATCACCACCAGCACCAGCAGCATCATCAACACCACCATCATCATCATCACTGACGCCGCCGTCACCATCACCACCATCATCACCACCATCACCACTACCATAATCACCACCATCATCATCACCACCATCATCATCAACACCACCACCATCATCATCACCACCACCAGCATCATCAACACCACCATCCTCATCATCACTACCACCATCACCACTACCATAATCACCACCACCATCATCATCACCACCACCAGCATCATCAACACCACCATCATTATCACTATCACCATCACCACTACCATAATCACCACCATCATCATCACCACCACCAGCATCATCAACACCACCATCATCATTACTACCACCATCACCACTACCATAATCACTACTACCATCATCAACACCACCACCACCATCATCATCACCACCACCAGCATCATCAACACCACCATCATTATCACTATTACCATCACCACTACCATAATCACCACCACCATAATCACCACCACCATCATTATCCATTCGGGAGACGTGCTGTGCACCGACTCGCTACACTTTCCCGATCGATTCATCTCGCATCTTTAACTCGCGCGCGTGTTCTCTCTCTCATCCACGTGCTCTCTCTCTCTCTAATCCACGTGTTCCCCTTTCTACCTCTCTGTGTGTTCTCTCTAACTCACGTGCTCTCTCTCTCTCTCTCTAATCCACGTGTTCCCCTTTCTACCTCTCTCTGCCTTCTTTATAATGCACGTGCAAGTAGCTACTAATACTGGACATCCGCGAAAAAGAGCTTCATAGCTCATCGGATTCCTCCAGGATAAAAACGAATTATTCTGACTATAGTAGGATTAGTAGCTACTGAGTACACAGTACCAACATAATACAGCAAGCATGTACCGCAGGGGCAATAATCATACCAAATACACGACAGACACCCGATCGATACGAAGTACATAAGAGACAAATACTCGATAAAGGAACATAGTATGCACAAGCCACCTTCTAGACACGTAACATATATAAGCAATACAAATAAGGTAAATACTGTACTGCAATCAATATATTCGGTGCATGAAATCGACGCAACCGAATATCATGCTAATATTTGACAAAACAACAGATATACATATCACAATACACACGACATGTGAATTAACAGGCACGCACTACTATATATATACATGGAATACATAACAAGTGCATAATATATACTCGACAATCAGAGAAGCGTACACAATAGACGTGCATAGATCGACCAACAACTCGCACAGAACAAGAACACAGCAGAAACGCACCAGATTATCATTAGACACACTGGGTATACACACCAAACACACACGCACAGCAACTGATACATAAACCATTCCAGATGCATAGCCTATACCAGACCCATGCTCGTTACGTAACGCATGGATTATAAACACCGAAACATGATACACAACGGGCAATTCCAGAAGCATCGTCGACGTACGGCAGATAGATGATACACATCGGATTCTAAGCAGACACACACCCGATACATACTATACACATGCACGGCTTGAAAAGTGGAAGGCACACAGATACGGATGGATAATCCGGACACAAACCAGACAGACAACAGATGGTATGTACACCATTAACACATATAAAGACATAACGTACACATCGACGGCACGTAACATACATCCGAGTTCTGTAATGAGACCAACATAGACACACCATAAACACAATAGAAAATACCCAGACACGTATCAGACACATACTTACATAAGAGACATAGCAAACACACGTAACGGACACACACACACACACGTGTATAACAAAACACATCAAATACTTAATAGACACACAGCAGACGTGTACTAGACATGTGCGAGATTTATGATGGATTGATCACAGACACATACATAATAAAGGCATGATTCACACACCGCAGGCGCATATCAAACACAAATCAGATACACATAATATGTCTATCATAATCATACCAAACACATAACAGTACACAATACGCACACCAATCATATAGACACATGATATAACGAATATGTGCAATAGTTACACATACACAAAGGAGACATGCACATACATACTATACATGGCTACATCATATATATGGCAATGTACACAATGGACACCACACTAATAATATATAAACAACAGACACACAAGGCACATAACACACACACACAACAGACATGCAGCAGAAACCACACGCAACACAGACAACAACATACACACGCCATTAAGACACACACCACACACATACACCATGGCAACACGTCCCAGACACACAAACAGATGCGTAATCGCCTTGCACCGCAGACACACGACCTACATAAGAGACACACAAAGGACACACACAACACTCCACCACGGTCCGTCGCCCATCATCATCACCACCATCATCATCATCATCACCACCACCACCATCATCACCAGCATCATCATCACCACCAGCATCATCATTACCACCACCATCATCATCACTACCACCATCACCACTACCATAATCACCACCACCACCACCACCAGCATCATCACCACCACCATCATCATCACTACCACCATCACCACTATCATAATCACCATCACCACCACTACCACCATCACCACCACCACCATCACCACTACCACCATCACCACCACCACCATCACCACTACCACCATCACCACCACCACGACCACCACCACCACCACCATAATCACCACCACCACCATAATCACCACCACCACCACTACCACCACCACCACCACAACCACCACGACCACCACCACCACCGCCCGTGCCGCTTGACGTACTCGCTTGTAGCCGCGCGCGGCTCTCTTCTCCGGGGTCCGTGCCCGCCAGGTCCCCCTTGTGCTCGGGGTAGGGGTCCCCGTGAGACCCCAGCACGGGGTCCGGGGTCTCGGCGACGACCCCTCGGAAGAGCAGCGACTCCGCGTCGAAGCGGGCCACGCTCATTCCGTCAGAGCCGACCTGCAGGAGTCCCGGCGCCGGTCCGCACCCCCCCGGCCGGCACGCCAGCCCGTAGGGAGCCAGGGACCCCTGCGGGGACCCCATCCCCATCCCGGGGTAGAGGCCGCCGCCGCCGCCGCCGCCCGTGAGAGATTCAAGCCACGACGACCCGGGGGGGTCCTGACCTCCTCCCGGGGGTCCGTAGAGCCCCGGCTGAGTCCAGGGGGGCCCGCCCCCCATCTTGTGTTGCTGGAAGCCGCACGCCGCGTGGGGAGGAGGAGGATGAGGAGGAGGGGGCTGTTCGAAGTCTGGCAGCTGGAAGGCGGCGATGCGGCGGTTCTCGCTCGACTGGAGGAGCGCCGGGAGGGGGATGCTGTCCGAGGGGTCCCCGCGGGGTGCAGCGTCCGCGTAGAAGCGAGCGTGGAGAGGGGGGCCGACCCCCTTTAGGGGTCCGGACATGCTCGCGGGACTCGTGTGACACCGCCGTCACGAGTAAGTGGGGGGGGGGTCTGGGTTTGGGTGGGGGGCAAAGGGGGGGATGTGGCCGTGGAGGAGGAGGAGGGGGGGGCGGTGGGGGCTCAGGTCGGACCCACTAATCCGAGAGGAGCGTGGTGGAGTGTTTTGGAGCGAGCCCCCTTCTGATGACGACGGCCGCTCTGTGCTCACGAGCACTCGCTCCCAATTGTGCTCGTCACTCACGCGCCTGCCCCGTCACTCGCACTCCTGCCCCGTCACCCGCACGCCTACCCCGGGCTCGCGTTTAACACCCCCGTCCGCCACTGGCGCCGTCTCAAGAAAACGCTGCTGCCCGGTGCATAAACGACGCCCCCCCCCCCACCGAAACACTTCTTCTCCGATGCACAAACACTGCCCGAGCCGAACGCTTCTGCAACGACGGCAGCGAAGCGCCTCCACTCACTCCCCCACCCCCCGGCAATGGGACGGACGCCACTCGCGGGTTCTCGACGCGCGCGACTCTGAACCCGACGATTCCGCCCAAGCTCCACGCGCCTCGCCCAACTAAGACGCGGACGCTCCCAGCCGCTCGTTCACACCCCAGTGCAGGGGTGGGTGCGGTGGAGTAGGGGGGGGTAGAGGATGGGGGTGGGGGGGTTACAGGGATGTATTTATTTATTTACTTACTCCATGCTTAATTTCAGTCGGGAAGTCGTTTGACACCCAGCGCGTAACACATCTCCTGCCAGGCCTTATCTCGCGATTACAAATTGTTTATTTGTTTTGGGATGCATGTAAAACGAGTGAATTGAATTGTAAGATTAGGGGGGGCATAATGGTGTTTGGGTTATTATGCATAGGTGCACTTTGTACTCTCGTGGTAGTGCCTTACGCCGGCAAAATCCATACTCCAGGCCAGCCTGAGCAGCGTTCCGGAAAATATCGATTATTTTTTCTTAGTTCTTGTGCACACATCACGAACTTACCTGGCTGCGTTCTCACTCGGTTAGAAACCTGCCCGTGTATTATACACAAACACACACATATAGACACACGCACGCACGCACACGTTGAATCTGAACTCATTCGCCTGCTCTGCTGTGTTCGTGTGTCTCTAACGCTGCATGGAGATGTCTGCCGTGTGTACGAGGATCAATGGATACGATGTGAAATGTGTCAAACACTAATCCCACTCACTCTGCCCGTGTGGAGTCCCGTCTCCCGTTCGCGCGTCTCGTTCCCGACCACAATGCGCCCATTATTTTTTATGGGACCGAGGGGCGGAGGAGGGTGGGGGGAGTTGGGGGATGGGGGAGGGGGGGGAATTGGTTACCCCCCCCTCCCCCGTCCCTCTCTCCCACCCCCCACCCACCGAGGTCACGTGTCGCTCGTTAAGCGCGTCGCTAAATCAGCGGAGATGTCCCATATAAGGTCACCATTTGCATATATGCAAAGTAGTTGCGTCCCCAGCAAAGGCCGCGCTAAATTAATTCAACTGGAATTTGATCACCGACAGTGGCGATAAAACACGAGTGTGGGGGGCACAGGGGGGGCACACGCTGTGGGTGAGTGTTTGTCAATAGGGGGGGGGCATCAATAGGCGCTCGCTAACTGTGTACCCCTTTGGTTTCTCCAAAGGGCCACGAGGATTGCACGTGGCTTGATTTCGGTTCGGATCCACTCATCATGAACATTCTCGTCTGTCGTGGCCGATATCCACTGCTGGATGATTTCCTCCCCAATCCGACGGCCGCATCTTCATGAGCCTGCGACGTTCACGAACTCCATCCAGCCGCCGCACGCTGGAAACTCGCACCATCGCTACGCGGACTCCCTCACTCCACCACCACGTGGCATCATCTCTCCTCGCCAGGACGCCTCCTGCCCCAGGCCCGCCGCGTTCCCCAGTCCCCCTCTCAACGCCACTGCGAAGCAACGCGCATCTCATCCAAGCGTCAGCGCGCACTTCTTTTAATTCCACTCGTCGATGGAACGAAGCGGCGAACGAGAGCAGGTTGGAGCGCTCTTGAAGGGCCCACGACAACGATGATGATGATTTTGATGATTTTGAAAAGTAACAAAGCGGTGTGACTGGCAAACCAAAGACCGAGATCCCCGTAGAAGCCCTAACACGCCGTGCGGGCAAGCGCTCTGAGCGCGAGCATCTACGAAGGCCGGCACGGCACTCAGAGTGTGCGGGTAGGCACCGCACACGAACACGCGAGACCTCAGCGACTCGAGTCACCGCAACAGACACCTCGTCAGCCCGTGGCAGAAGTGGCTGAGCCAGAGGTCGCAACCGGGTACCTGATACCCTACCCGATACCCGGCTACCCGTACCCGGCCGGGTGTCGGGTACGGGTACCCGTTTGCGACCCTGGTGCGGCCGGGTACGGGTAAGGAATCAAAACCCGTTAGCGACCTCTGGACTGAGCTCGCTTTAATTGTAAACACAGCGTCGCTATTAGGTCGGAAATATGTTTAACAAGTCGTGGGCTTCCCGACCAAATATTTTCCACAAAAAAATATTTTTTCTTTGGGGGGTTAGTTCGCGTCCGTTTGATTGCATTTACGCAATTTAATCCAAAAACAATCTTTACCATCGGGAAATTATGCCCCTTCTCTCGTACCCGACAAGGCGCGGCTAAAGCTGCGTGCTCTAAAACTCATTTGCGGTCACGTGGGTCCCGTGCGAGTCGCGGGGCAAATGAAACGAAGCCGCGGGTCGCTTCAGGCCCCGTGGGCAGTCTCGAGTGGCCACCCCAGAGCCAGGGGCGACTGCCCCCCCCTCGACCCACGTCATCCGTCCCCAAACCTCCCCACCCCCCCTCCCCGCGCTCAGTCGTCCAATCCGCTCTGCTGTCCAGGATGCGTGCAGGTGCGCGCGGGGTCGCCGTCTCCGCTGCTACCGGCGGCTCGTCGCTTCCTCCTTCGCCGTGGGGATGGAGTCAACGCGGCCCGCTGAGACACGCGAAGCGACCTCGCCTCTTGGTGGTTGTGTTTGTTGTGTTTTTTAAAAAGCGAGGTTCGACCCCGGGGTGACATCGAATTACAATCGCGAGTCATTTGAAGCCAAGGTAGGCATGGTATGGACGGAGGGGAAGAGCGAATCTTGGCATGAGATTGATCAATCGTCTCCCCGCCCCGCTCGACCAGCCTGATGATGACTACACCTCGCAGCGCCGCGCGCACCCTACCCGCCTGCTGTGTTGTCTGCCAGGTCCGTACGGGCACCCCCCTCCCCTCGCAACCCCCGCCCCCTCCCCCCCACCCCCCGCCTTCCAACTTCCCTCTCTCCCCTCCCCCCCACCGCACGTCTTTGTGCAGCAGTGGTCCCAGTTGCATCCCCCAAACCGCCCCCACCCACTCCTCCAGCCCCTCCCCTCTCCTCCACCCTCCCCTCTCTTTAACACGTGGGAGGCTTTCGCGACCAATATCATCCATAGTCGAGGTTTGTTTGGCTTAGATCGCGTAAATATATAAATGTGTCGTTAAAACCTTCCACCACCCGACACTGCTAACCAGTAAGGGTTGTCACGTAAACAGAACGTGCTCTCTCCTCTCTCTCCCCATTCATGCTCTGTAAGGCTCTACCTGCCCCCCCCCTTTCGGTAATGATGCCCCCCCCCCCCCTCTCTGTCTCCTCGTGCCCATGTGGAATCGCTCGCTCGACCTGTGGGGAGCGGTGGTGCAGCGCTTAGCGCGCTGCGCCACGAAGCTGGTGACCAGCGTGCTATTCCCGCTCACGGCCACCAACAACGGAGACGATTATATCTGGCCCCCGACCCTACGTCGACTCATTCTCAGATGAGTACCTGGAGCGGTGCGTGAGCATCGCCACTTGGGGGACAAGGGCGGTCGTGCGGGCGTAGGTGCTGACCAACCACCCCCTCGTGTGCCGTGTCGGCCTTGAATGTATTATGCCGTACGAGGTTAACCGTGCTAATCAGAGGTGCATGGAAGGACTGGTAACAGCACTTGTCCCTACAGTCTGTTAAGGCTATACGGGGGATCTTTGTCTTTGCCCCCCCACCACCACCCACATTCCGGCCCTTGCTCCGTGATGACCACCACACCCCCCCCAGCCCCCCACCCCAGCCCCTCCCCTGCTTTATGGAGCCCTCTCCACTCTGGCTGATGTTTTAGGGCCCCCTAATCACGTGCTCAGCCAAGCGACGCTTCCTGGCTCCCTTTTGTTTACTCGGAGCGCGGGGAGGAGCTCGTGTCTAGCGGGTCATAAAACAACAACAACAACAAACAAATACACAAGTAAACAATAATAAGTATGCCTTTCCACGTTCTTCTCAGTGCGGCTGATGTTGATGTATAGAGCAACAGCTGTCATTCGACATTCAGATGGCCGAGTCCCAGATGGCGGAGTGGTGAATCGTCGCGACTGTGATTGTCTAAATCTCTGTGTGAGTCTATAAACTATGACAACAATTTTTTTTATTTTACCAGGTAAGATACCCACTGAGCTACAGAGTTCGTTTTTCAGAAGCGACCTCGTTATCACAAATTATAGCTCAACGAAGTGGCTTTTCATCATCACGTGGAAATGTCCAGCAGCCAAATACTGTGAACGCGATGACGTTGATTCTAAATGTGGAGGGGGAAAAAACCGCAGGACCCGGAGAAAAATCCACGCGACCACGGGGAGAGAGAGAGACACGCAGACTCCAAATATACAGCAGGTGTCAGGGTCAAGATCGAATCCACGTCCTCCTGTATACCCAACGAGATAGTTGATAGCTCCTAGCCACCGTGGCGCCGAGTCTAAGGGTTTACCCCCCCCCTCACCGCGTGCACCGGGTTCCTCCAACATATTTGAACGCTGTATTAATTGGCTGGAAATGATCATAACATATGTAGAGGATAGCAGAACACGGACAATTGTTGGTGGTGCCAGTTCCTCACAGCCTGGCTGCAGCTGCTGCCGCTGCCTTTCCTCGACGATTGTGAGAGACGCTCTCCGTGAACGACGCCGACAATGCTGGCTATAAAACTCAACACTTTAAAGTAATTATTACCATTAAACGTACCAAGCGTCTCGAGGCAGTGTTGTTATTGATGAAAGTGGAGTGCCTATTGTTGTTTGTTCACCGCTGCCAACGCAGCAGCATCGCCAAACTATTTGTGTGATCAAGTAAGCGGCACTTATTCGGATAAGATATCAAAGCGGATCCCCCCGTTTTATGTACAATATTTCGCTGCTCAGTTTAACACGTGGCAGGCTTTCGCGACCAATATTATTCATAATCAACGTTTTTGGGTTTAGATCGCGTTATTTATAAATGTGTCGTAACCCTCCACCACCCGACACGGCCAATCAGTAAAAAAGTGTCACGTTGACAAAGGACAAATAGTTCACTGCTTGAGCCCACCGGTGTGTTGAAGCGTGAAACCACAACATTTACAATTTGAGTTGTACGACGTTTCGCTGGTAATTGCATCCAGCATCATCGGGCAATTCGCCAGAATGGTGAGGCTCTGCTCTGTCTCCCGTTCTTATATAGAGCAGCAGCAGGGTGACGTCATC